ATCAATAAAAATTTTAAAAATTGAAAAAAAAATCCCAGCTGTTACTTATTAGAAATGTAACCTCCAGCAAATTAAGTTACTAGACCTTTTTTTCTGCCTCAGCTTGCTCATTTTTGTTAAATAGGGATAACGTACCTAATTCCTTATTTTAAGAACATAGTCACTACATGTAAAGCACTCAAAACTAGGTCTGGCAAGTAAGTACTTAATGAATGTTAAGAGGATGATGATCTCATTTTCCTGCAGTATCCAAAATTATACTAAAAGAAATCCTCAAACTTCTCTTGGCCTCCACAATAGTACTTTAATTTATATTCTATCTTACAATGCCAAAGGTTTTTGGTTCCTACTTGTTTCTTCCCAAGTAGATGTGACCAACTCTCTCATCCTTTCTTCTCTCCTTGGCCATTTCATCTATGCCCACTTATAATGATGATTTCATGTCTTAGTATACACATCTCTCTCAACATAATATCCTTTATTTCTGACTTCCTACAGGACAGACATTCCTCTGGCTGACCTAAAGCAACAAAACTCTTCCCCTAAAATCTGTCAATAAGTCCTGTTGAACTCTGCTGTTTAAATACTACTGGATTATTTTTTCATCACTACAACCAATAATGGCACCATCACCTTTTGCCTGGACAATCATGATAGCCTCCTACCTGGGTTCTTTATACCTGCAACCCAGGTATGTGCCCTCGACTAGGAATAGAACCCAAGATCCTTTGGTCCTTGAGCCGACGCTCTAACCACTGGCCAGGGCCTATTTGCCTTTTTTGATTACCATGTTACTTGTTTCTGCTTATTCTACTTAAAATCTTTGAATTGCTTAGTTTAAATCAGATATCACTGACTAGTTGTGGTTTGCTGCATTGTAACAGAGTTTCATTCGTTTAAATCATACTTGTTTTTAGAGGAAATCATCTGATACCAGATGCTTAGTACCAAATTACTCACTGATGTTATGAAAATAGTATATAGTACTAATATAGATCAATCCAATGACAAAAATAGATCATTAAACCCCACAAATAGCAGAATTTGATGAAAACATTTCTATCTTATGTTTTTTTAAAAAACAGGATGTAGAAATAATGACTAGAAATATGCAAACCATTATTAGGGTTTGAACACATAGCACCTATCACCTAATAACTTACGCTACAAGAAAATGAGAGGACTTGGAGAACTGTAATTTGTTTACACTACATTCTCTGCTGTAATACTTAGCTACAGGCATCATTTAACACCACCATTATATGCGAAATTCGCAATGTGTATCTATAATTACTTTACTACTAGAGGCCCAGTGCACAAATGGAGGCGGGCCCTCAGCCCAGCCTGGGCCCTCTCAGAGTCCAGGACCCCTCAGGGGAGCGGGCCTAAGCAGGCAGTCGGACATCCCCCGAGGGGTCCTTAGCGCTGTTGTGGAGGCTGGAGAGGCTCCTGCCACCGCCGCTGCACTCCCCAGTCAAGAGCCCAGCTTCTGGCTGAGCAGCGCTTCCACTGTGGGAGCACACTGACCACCAGGGGACAGCTCCTGCGTTGAGCATCTGCCCCCTGGTGGTCAGTGCGCATCATAGCGACCCGTCTTAACGCCATTCGGTTGATTTGCATATTAGGGTGTTATTATATAGGATATGATTTAACTTAAAGCCAAATTCTGGAAGATGCATAGTATTAATTTATGTGTGTATTCTAAGTTTCAATAAGTCTTAAAATCTAATAACTCTTAAAGAGCCAGAAATACCTGTAAAAATTCCTTGAAATAATAAACTCAAAAGTAGCATTTAAATTCACCTGCCTGTATAGCTCACCACCTGTACTTCAGAACTAGCATAATCTTCATGTACAGAAGCATGTCATTCCAAACAGTAATTCTCAGGAATGACTTCAAATATAAACCCAGTACTAAATACACAATAAGAAAACAACAGGTCCTGAATGTCACACAGAACAGCTATCTTCAACACAATTGATAGGACCTTCCTCTAAACCCATTCTAGTTATGCCTAAGTTGAAATTTTCAGGAAACTTATTATTTAAGTTTTATGTGTTCATCAGCAACCCCAGGACCCTTTTCCAATTATTTATATCACATAAGTTTATAATTTTATTAAAATAGGTTATCAATAAACAATTACAACTAAAGAAAAATCAAATGCCTACTTTTATGTATTTAGTTTAATCCCTTGTTGGCACTCTGTAATTGTTATAAACTGAGTACAGTTAATATATTTTATCAACCAAGTTTTATCCCTACACTGAACCTTGACTGAAAGTTCAATGACAATTTAGGCACAAATTTCTTTTAAAAAGAAAAATTCTTGTTACATTTTTTTATTAGTCCTCTAAATGTCAACTACTAATGACATCATGGCAGAGTCAAATAAAATTAACTTGTGAAATCACACTAAGACTGTTCCAGATTGCTCTTTAAGACTAAGTAATGTAAACAATTCTAGTAACCACCTAAACAACAAGCACACTTTTTTCTATACCAAGTTATTTGCTATTAAAATCTCTAAATAAATCGGAAACAGTAATGATTGTCACATAAAGATAAAAATAGCTTTTAAAAGTACTTTAGTATATTCAATGCTGCATTACATGTATGAAGCTTAACATTCAACAAGCAGGTCTTAGATGCTAGGATGTTACTGGTCACCAGTGATTATAATTTACCAGATAAAGACAAAGTCTGTGTTTACCTCAAAGGTGGACATTGAAACATACCAAATTTAGGAAGGGATTTTTGGAAGCAGCAGAATAATTCTTAGGATAGAGTAAGGTAGTGTTCTAGAACACTTTTTGTGTCACAGTCCTCTTTGAAAATAAAACTTATTCCTTCAAGAAATATTTACTCAGTCCTTACTATGTGGGAATCACTGGGAATACAGAGAAAACAAAAAGGTCACTGTTCTCACAGGATTTTTATTAGCAGCATAAAAGCTTTGGTTCCTCTAACCTAAATGTTCAGAGGTTTATTAAAGCCTGGGGTCTAAGGAGCACCTTTAAAAGTCTAGGAAAAGGCAGGGTAGGGAGAGAATCTACAATATATTTTCCTCCATTCCCACTTGAAATTTAATTGTATGATGGAAGTCAATGAAATGACAGAATTTGTCTTAAAGACAATATTCCAATGAACTACAACTATTCTTGATAAAAATGTTATAACAGTCATTGAAGATTCTTATATCTCACAGATACAATCTTTCTTTAAAGAGGCGCGTGTGTTTGGGAAGGCAACAATGAGCACCAACTCTGTGACAGGCACTTTGACTAATACATTTTCTACCTTAAAGTGAACATTTTGTGCTGTGTACAATAGGCACAACTACCTAACTGGGCAGAGAGGGAGGCCAGATGTATCAGAGAATGTAAGAGTTTAAGAATGGAAATATTAGATAGCCCAGAGGTCAGTTCCTGAAGGATATATTAAAAACTATTTCAGAGTAATTTTACATTTCATTGATACATTTAAAAATAATATAAACCAACATGCAATTTACCAACCCTAGAAAGCAAATCCCAGGTTTAAATCAAATCCACACAGCAAGTAAAAATAAAACCTGCATAAATTTTGTCCTTAATGCTAATAGCTTTCTACCTTATATAATCCTATCAAATAATATTCATGATGAATGTTTGAGATTAGTGATGTCTGGCTCCTCTAAGTTTGTGTTTATAGGGGTGGTTTTATTTACTTTATTTATTTACTTTAAATGGGCTATATTGTTGAGTTCTAACTGTGTTTCTCAGTTTTCTCTAGCTTTAAAAATTGCTTCAGCCCAACCAGGGTGGCTCAGTGGTTGAGCATCGACCTATGAACCAAGATGGCTCGATTCCCAGTCAGGGCACATGCCTGGATTTTGGGATTTCAGGCTCAATCCCCAATAGGGCGTGCAGGAGGCAGCCGATCAATGATTCTCTCTCATTATTGATGTTTCTATCTCTTTCTCCCTCTGCCTTCCTCTCTGAAATCAATAAAAATATTTTTAAAAAATGCTTCAGACCCTGACTGGTTTGACTCAGTGGATAGAGCGTCGGCCTGTGGACTGAAAGGTCCCAGGTTGGATTCCAGTCAAGGGCATATACCTTGGTTGCGGGCACATCCCCAGTAGGAGGTGTGCAGAAGGCGGCAGCTCAATGTTTCTCTCCCATTGTTTCTGACTCTCTATCCCTATCCCTTCCTCTGTAAAAAAATTAATAAAATATGTTTAAAAAAATGCTTCAGTGTTTCTGAGCACTTCAAACTCCTTGCCTACCAGGAAAATTGTAGCAGTTAAAACTGCTTGATGCTTGTGTTAACAAAAGCCTCTAATGTGAAGTAAAAGAATAGAATTTGAAAGACATTTCAATATTGCATAAAAAAAGCAAAACTTTAGCAAGTTTCCAAAACATTTTAATGTTAATCAGACATCTCAAATATTAGAATAAAATAAAAAATACTAATGTTTAATGGTATGGCATAAAGACAACATGACATCAAGTTTTCTGTAACAATTTCACATATAAAACCAAAGGAGACAAGATTTAAGAAGCTCACTTAAATAGCTGTCACTACTTTATAAGACATAATTACATGTGTAAAATAGAATGTTAACCTTTAGATCTAGGTTTTTCATTGGAAAAAGGGGTTATTCCCTTACTATATATGCAATTCTAAGGTTAAAATATTAGCTATTTTACAATGGCGTAAATTCAATGTTCATCTTCTGATTCTACATTTCAAATTACCTATTGGTTACATGACGTGGCCCTCTTGTAGAGACTGATTTGGAGTTACAGTATTAAAAACTGCTTAGAATTCATGTTTTAAAGTAAGATAACCAACAACAACAAAAGACAACCACCTGGCTCCAAACATGTCTAAAAACAGCATAAAAACATGTCTTTAATTACAGTTAGCCCCACACATCTTTCTCAGGCAAGTTTACCTTTTCACTTGCCAAAGCAGATTCAATTACTGTATTAAATTACAGCCATTTGCTATGTACTATATAGATCAAAGTCAATTTTTTCATACAAGTATCTCATTTTGGATTAGCTATTCAGTTTATAATAAAATCCAACAGGTACAATCAGGCAAAGTATTTCTCACCTGCAATCTGCTCTTCAGTCAGTTGGTCAGCCTACAAAGAGATCAAGAGATAGATTAGTGACTTGAGACTATGTAGGTTAGCAATTACAAAAACAAGTTTTAAAAGTTTTTAAGGTTTGGCATGTACCATAAACTTCATTTAGTTCAACATTTCTTAGTACCAGCAATAAGCACACAGGGTAAGTGGAAAATGCATACATCTGGTTTACATTCAAAGTTAAACAGTCTTGACCCCAAACTTAAGATAAGGAAAGTATTTCAGAATATGTTTGAAAGTAAATTTTACACAACTTGGAAAAAAAACACACAAAAAAACAAATCTGGAATACTAAAAAGTTTAATTGGAGTTTTTCTAAATTAAAGATAGAATCCAATAGAATCATTGTTTCCTTTTTCAAAATTAGCATACCTCAACTTAAACTCACCTCCTCTGGTAGATATAAAATTATTACCAGAAATGTCCATTGAACCAAAAATAATGCCCAAGGACTATAGTCAAAATTGCCCCCATAAATGGCTTAAACACATCATTTGGACATAAAAGTAATTTTCCAAATCTCAAAATGAAGCAAAACTCCCATTATTAAAAAGATTAAAATCTAGTCTTGGATGGGGCAACATGAAAGCTACCAGTTTTTACTCCTCTTCACCTGCCAGGCAACTGCAGAGAATGCAGGATTCTGAACACTTGAATTACATTATTTACCAAATGTTAAGTAAGTCCAGCCTCTCATCTTCTCTTGACTTTTGAAATCCCAAAGTGAGCCTAAGGTTTGTGATGTCTTGAGCACATGGAGAAAGTTACTGGTTCTTGCTTTTTAAAAAACAAACAACAAACCTATTTTCAGGCATTTGCAAAAACCATTTTATATGTTGTTCTTATTCAGTCTTCATAGTAACCAAACAATGGTGTTCTTATTCCCTATCTTACAAAAGGGGAAAGAAGGACTCAGATTATATTTCCGGGAGTGGGAATACAGTATTAGTTAGCTAGTAGAGTGAGTATTAAACATTAAAGTGTTAGACATATCCAATGCCTCTAAGTTTAAAATTCAGAGCACATAATATATAAGGATATTTGCAAAATATCAAGGCTTTGTTCTTCATGTGTCCTTCATCTTTAGACATTTCTCTGCTTATCAGCATACATACCCATGAAACAACTGTTTATGTGGTTCTGGGAGGCACTGACAAGAAATAGCCTCCTATCTAGTATGTATACCTACATCAAGTCAAACATACTATGATTAATCCATTCATTTTTGGTATGAAAATAAAAGCACTGCCTGGTTTCATTCCTTTTAAGTAAAAAGACCCCCAGAAAGGGTAACACCTTAATGTAGAATAGTATCACATTTTCTCTAGGGGACAGCATGAGAATATTTGAGAAACAAAGCAGACGTTTCTTTCCCTGCTTGCTTTGATCTCAATGCAATCAACTCATTTCCATTCTTAAAAATTAAAAAGGAAAAAAAGCCAAAGGCCTGATAATTAAAATTGAAGAGCAAATAATTAAGTTCAAATGCAGAAATTTATAAAATAAATTATCTCCAGCAATCTGGTATAAAATCAGCCAGATTGTTTTCCCTAGGAAAAAGATTTAAAACCCAGTAAATCCACTGAGTTGTTTCCTTTGTTAGAGGCTATAGGGATGGGGAATGTCAGGCCCGAGAAATCATTTGGTATGGCCATGCCAAGGCATTAGGGGTGAGTTAATTAAATGTTTAACCAAATATAGCAGGTTAATTTTTAAGTTGATAATTTTATATGGCCCACGAATAATGTCGTAAGTATCCAAATGACCCTTGGCAGAAAAAAGGTTTCCCACCCTTACAAGGATTTACTTCTAGTCTGATTTCATTTTGCAGGATTTCTATAATTTCTGAAGGAAGGGCAATATGGTATGGTGCAGGAAAAAGCATAGTGCTTTGAGTCATCATGGGGCTAGTATCCCAGCTTTGCAACTTGCAACTTAATAGCTCTGACACCTTGGACTTATTATTCAACCTCTAAATCAACTTCACCTGTTAACACAGTAATACCTACCTAACAGTTATTGTGTAGAGTAAATCAGAAGCTATGTCAAAGGCTGGCCAAAAGAGTTTAGTGATAATTATTTTACATAAATAAATCAAAGAACCTACAATGTTAACTATCAACCTAACTAGTTCAACTTCCACACAGAAGGTAAACATGCACAGCATTATCAAGACCTTTACAACAAACCTACCATGTTTCATGTTAAACTTTAAGCTGAGAAAATATATTTCCACAAACTGAAACCACCAGTTGAAGTCCAGGGACAGATGTGGAAGGCAATGTAGCATGTATGAAAGCTGATGGATTGATGGGCTATGTGCAGAATGGTAGACACTGGGTTTGTTCTCAAAACATGGTTGGGGGAAGATTTTGGGGAAGCTTAAGGCCTCAAGAAGAAACAAAGATGTTAGCTATAAAAGAAATTTTTCAATTTTCTTTGAAAGTCCAAATTTAATGGTTCCACACCATCTTGTCCAGCTCCCTACCTCTAGGCAAAGGTAATCTTAAAAAAGATCACAAATAAGCTTCAAGGAATAAACTAATAAGCACACAGGAGCCTAAGTTACTCACATAACCTAAAGAAAAGATCACAAATAAGCTTCAAGGAATAAACTAAGCACACAGGAGCCTAAGTTACTCACATAACCTAAAAGCACTGTGATTTTTGTTTGGAGTGTTTCGAGAAGCTTAGAGACATTTTTCATATTTACTACTAACCCAGAGTTCAAGGTTTTAAAGTAATCTTTATATCAAACAAATCTTTATATTAAACAATTCAGATTAAAACCTACTAAAAGCAGAAACAACACTTCCTAGCATTCTAATTTGTAAGCCTTTCCCAACTACACCAAATCAATTTGTTTCTTATTTCTGTCTATGGAGAGTGACATTTTCTTACTTAGAAGAACTTCAAAAATTATACTTTTGGGAAAACTCAAGCTCAATAACATGTGTATTTATCTCAGTAAAGAATAATTCACTAGAGAGCTGACTAGTTCTTACTGTATTTCTACACTTTATATAATTCTTCCTACTGCTCTTGTCATGCCAGAGAAAGCTTCCAGGCATTAGCATACTCACTCTCAGGTTCAAAACCACAGGTGATTTATTCACCTATTGAGAAACACTAAAATAGACTAGGTGTGACCTGAAGTGAATGCATTATGTACCTATTAAATATTTCCTAAATGGCTCTCAAAAGTAGGTATGGGTACTCTTGGAGCTCACCTAGTGTAAGGTTTTATACAAATGATCCAAAATTCTTATCTAAGTAAATGGATGAATCCATAGGCTTGAAATGGCACACAAACTTCTATCCTTCATTCATTCCTGTTTCTTCCAAGTCCTACTTAGATATAAGCTTCATAATTAAAATTTTCCTACAACTTCAGAATTGTTTTTTTACCTATATAAAAAGCAGCCTCTAAATTAGCTCAATAATTATATCAGTAATACTGGTAGAACAGTACTTACTATATATAGCATCTTGGATTAAAAAAAAAAAGAACCCATCAAATTACTTTATAAAAATTAGGACCTTTACCAAGGGCCTAATTTGATCATTCTAGCTGAATCTAGAATTTCCTGCATTTTAATAGAGCCATAGTGAATTTCCTCAGTCTAACAGAAATAGATCTCCTTGCAGTTTGATGGAATAATGATTATTTATTTAGACAAATGACAACATTTTCTACCTTTTCACATCTTTTATTTATCTAACCACCCCAGCCCTTAAGTCTTCTTAAAGCACTCCCCCCTTCAAAGAGGATGATATATCAACTATATGTAAACCTAAGAGCTATGTGAGCAATCATATTCCACTTTCATATAACTTTTTTTCTTTTAACTTGTCAGAGTTCTAACTTTAAATCTCCAAGTCTTATAAAGTTAAAGAGGACAATTTCCAAATTAAATAATTAATGATGACTGTCAATTTAACAAACAAAAACCCCCAAAGCATCAACGATGCAAACAGTAACTCAAAAGTTTATCACGGGCAAAGAACCAAGAAAGTATAGATATACTCTACCCATCACCAGGGAAAAAAACCTATTCCAGTGTGTTTTCAATTATACTGAAGGAAAAAAAAAACAACAACAATCTTACCCTTCATTTAAAAACATTTTAAAATTTACCTCGCAATTAAAAACTTCGATTACATGCCTATAATGTACTTTCACCTAAAATAGTAGTAAGTTCAACCAGCATATACAAACTCATAATAAAATAACTTAAAAATATCAGTATGGAACGAGTGCATCAAACTTAAACGAGCACTAGTTTAACCAAGATGAAGTCCTTTCCCCACACCCATTAAGGCTGAAGGTTTCAGTTGGCAAGGATTTCCAACTCTTGTTTAAGATGTCACCTTGCCTCCTGGACACACCCATCGCTGTAATTACTTGGCAGAAGGAACCACGAACTAAGTACTGCAAATTACCGCCCTCATTAGATTTTTTTAAAAACAGAAGTTCTGGTCTCAAGTGACAGGAAAACGCTTTTTAAAATCCCCTGCCCTCCAAATACTCTTCTATCATACTCCGGTATTTGACGACCATTATTGCACAAATGAACTGAACAACTGAAGATGATCTGGCAACTTCTGTAGGGAAATAGGAGTGATCCCCAAGAGGACTGGAGCGGGGGCAATGCTGCTGCGTGGTCGTGGTTCCCTGACATAAGGAGTGCACGTGATTGCTCAAAAATAGGACATACCAGTGGCCCTTTTCAAAAGCATCCTTCCAGTTGTTACATGAGAACAAGACCGACTTTCACAACAGTCGCCGCGGAGCCTGCTTTCCGTAGGTGGCAAGGCAGATAGGAAACGCCTTTCACCTAACCGGGGCCGAGGGCTTTCTTTAACAAGATGCGTACTTCGGGGACGCGCCCGACTTCCGTGACACAGAGATCATTTCCTCCAACCATAAAGCCACTTAAAAATAATTCTTATTTTTAAATGTCCAGCCTGGATAGTGGAAAAAGGCCCCAAAACCCAGATGGGGGAAAAATCGGCATTCACCGAGCTTCCTTCTCGCC